TTAGAAATATTCTAAAAAATTTTTTTTTCTTTCCCCCCCCCCCCCCCCGCTTCTACTCATTTGCATACGTGAACACACGTGAGCAGCGTAACGTGAACTAATGAAGTAGCGTCTCAATGACATTAATCATAGAAAACAGACTTGCTGAACGGTTGATATAGCCTCTTGTCTTGTTTTTGAAACATCTCCCAACACCATCATTCTGTTACTTGCTCGTGCTCTCGTATTCCCTCTCATGCTATATATCTCATTCTTCTTCCTCCCTCCCCTCTTTGTGTTTCTGTTCATGACAACTTACGAACAGACGTTTTAGGATGTTTATGTTTTGTTTTTTTTCTCTGTGCGTTGTAAATAATGAGAATACAAAGCAGAAAATAGAAATCCTCTTTGAATTCCAAAATATAATCTTCCAATTGTTTCAATGAAACCGGTTGTCCCTTTTTCCCAAATTTTTTTGGTTATAAAACGTATCTAGGAGGCTAAGCGAGGTATCATCACTTCTCTTGGCAGTTGTTGATTTTTCAAAAAAAAGGGGAAAAACCTTTAAAGGATGACTGATTCTCTATATGAAGCCTTATGATCATTGATGCTCATCAGAGCATCCTCTCTCGTTATGCTTCTCTATGATCTACTCTCAATTAAGATCATTTCATTTCAATCTATTCTATAATCAGAATATGAATGTCCATACTGAATGTGCAGCTCCATTCTCATCCGTTGATCGGTAATGAAATCTGACACCTTTTTTGGAGAGAAAATTTCCTTTTTTTTTTCTCCACTCCCACATCTCCATAACAGCCAAACATGCAAATGAGGCGAGACAGAAGCAAATTTTTTGACCTTTTTTTAAAACATTTGTTTAGGTCAAAACATTCCAAGAACCATGTTTGTTTTATCATTTTTTGTCTCATTCACTATCTAAGGCTATTCATCCTCTCATTCTTCAAATGGCACTCTTCTCTCTTTCTCTCTTAGTTATAGGATCTTCCAAAGCCCTCAGGGGACATTTTTCTCTCTATTCATCTCATTCTCCCTCTCATAATATGCTTGTGCTTTCCCTTTTCTCTGTTTCTCTTTCATTTTAGTCTTGCCAATGCTTAAATCATTCTGTTCACAACGTCTCTTCAATGCCCCCACAGAATAAGAGCCATGAAACAGTGTTTCTGTATTAAGCTCAATGTTTTCTTTCCATTTCAACAACTATATTCTTCGTCTTCTTCTTGTTAGACGTCGTCGTCGTCTTCTTCATTTCGTTTCAATTTTTGATTTTACAAGAAATTACATTTAGCTTTCTGTCCTTAACGAAAACTTTTTTTATTTTCTTTTTTCTTCTTCCATCAATCCTATCTCTCTCCAGCCCTAATAAGATCTCAAAATCAAATTTCGGTTCAAATCTCAGAGTTTGTCAAGAAAAATGTTTGAGGAATTCTCTCTTTCACCAATATCGACATAAATGGTTCGAGTGCCAAGATATTCCTTTGTTCTATTTTTATTTTTTTTTATTTTCGTGTTGGGTGGGAGGAGAGAAAGAGAACAAAAAAAGGAAAACCGATTGTAAGAGGTCAGCCACAACCATTTGTGCCTCTAACTATTCTGTTGTCTATTCCCTTAGGTCTGAAAAATCTTTCTGAGTAAAGCCTTAAAAGCAGAACGAAATCATTTCAATCGGAAACATCAGAATCACACCAGAATAAGAAATACTCGTT